CACTACGCAATCCAAGAAAAAAAAACTGGGAGCCCTACAAAAAGAAACTATATAGATCCAACAGGACAACAACCTGCATACAATAACTTTCTCCCACCTGCAACAAAATTCCGGTCTAGAGAGCTCACCCAGATTTACAGCCATCTGTCAAACCCGATAAGCCCATAAAACCCCAAAAAGGTGTATGATCGCGCAGCGACGAAGAAACGTCTAAAACCTTTTCCTCTCACTTACAATATATGTTGTTGCCAAGCCCCATACTTCAACTAATCTATTCAACCTATCTAATCTAATCAATCTATTCAGCTTTCTTGATTACTTGTAAACATACTTTTAATCAAACATGAACAATTTCAAACACCATAAAAAAACAGGTGAAACCTAAAACAAGAATGTTAAAACGGATGTATATCGCAAACATCGAATATAGTTGGTCGATCCTTAGTCGAGTTGGTTTATTCCCGAACACGGCGTACGCCTTACCGACTCCTGAAATCCTCCTGTGAAGCAAGGATAGGCCTACTCGGGGACTCACGCGCGTTGTTCCAGGAAGAACAAGCCAACAAAGGACCCGTTGGTCAGACGGTTCCTCTAAGAGCCCAGGGCATCGGAGTCGAGTGGGGCCATTCCCGACCACGGCAGGTAGCCTTGCAAGGAAGTGAGGGAAGGATACGTCTGGCGTACGCCTTACCGACTCCGACTTCGCAACCAACAGGCATGATCCTGCAAGGCACGGATAAGCCGGCTCGTGAACTCACGCTCGTGAGCAGAGCCCGTGTCCGGGATCAAGAATCAGATCTTTTGTATTGAGAAGAGCATACGAAATAAAGAGTTTATAACGTTTCGCTATTTGTATTATTTCTGGGCTCGGGCAATCACGTCGAACTATAAATTCGGTGGAACAGACCCGCAAACTCTTGAGCTAGCCGCGGCAAACTGTGGCGAGCGGAAGCAGTAGGAACAGTTCGTTACACCTGGCGCCCAGCAGACGGGACGGTGGAAACCATGAGATCACTAGTGGCGAAGTGGGTCGACTAGTCCAAGGACGAGGAAGTACTGGCGTTGACTCACGGGCTCGAGGAAAAGTTTGGGCAGAGATCCACCCCCAGGCAGAAAGCGACCAGCGAGACCGAAAGGTTTATAGCAAGCTTAGCGGTACCAGATTAAAAAATAGGAAGGAGCATGGAGCCACAATCGAGAAAATATGTCCCGGCCCCAGTGGATTATGCCAAAGTGGCCAGACAGGTGCGGGACTGGTCGTTTCGGTTCGACGGAACAGGAGACCCGCTAGAGTTCCTCGACCGAGTGACATGGTCTGCGAAAACCTATGGTTTGGACATAAACACGATCCCGAGGGCTATGCCAGAACTACTAAAGGCCAGGGCTCAAAGAGAGTTCCACCACCCGGCCGTCCAAAACGCTCAATGGACGCCAAGGTGGCAGAGGGAGGAAGTGCGCCAAGGTCCGCCGGAGCAGCAAAACAAAAGTCAAGGGTGGATGCCAAGATGGCAGCCTGAGACCCAGCACAGGGCAGCCCAACAACGACCAGATCGGCAATGGACAGCAGGACCAAGGCAGGGTTCAGTTGAAAACCCAGCACAAGCATGCAACAGATGCGGTGGCATGGGCCATTGGGCCAGCGGATGCAGGAACCCACGAATATTGTTCTGCAAGATGTGCGGCGCAATAGGGGTAAGGAGCACAGAATGCTGCCAAAGGTCGGGCAATGCGCAGCGGTCCCAGCAACAGGGAGGAGAGCAGGGATCGCACGGTGCTGCCTCTCAAAACTGATAAGAGGACTTTCCGGTGAAGAGCAGCAGTTGACAGCGACCATCGAGGTAGAGGGCAAGGTAGTGAAAGCCATGCTGGATACAGGAGCAACGGCGAGCTTTATCTCTGAGGAACTCGGAGAGAGCCCGGAAATCGCTGGACAACGCATCGCGACAAGGAGAAGGGTGAAGTTGGCCAATGCAAGCCATACGGAGATATACGTCGCAGGCAGGAATGAGGCAAGAATGAGCTTCGGTGACAAAACAAAGACCCTGAACCTGCTGGTGATGTCAGGCATGGAAGACAGTCTGGTGCTAGGATGGGACTTCCTCAGCGAGTTTGGCCCGACAGTGACATGCACAGGCCACCGCGTTACGATACCCAAAAGGGAGAGATGGGGCGGCTGTCTGGAAGATAGGCTGTCCGTAGCAGTGGCCGGATGCCCAGAGAAATGGGAGGAGGAACGCGATAAGAGATTCATGGAGGCGTTCCCGGGCCAAAGAGGCTGCTCGAACATAACGCAGCACAGAATCACGATGAAGGACGACATTCCCATAAAACAGCGATATTACCCCAAAAACCCAAAAATACAGGGGGAAATAAACGCGAAGGTGGAGAAGCTGCTGGAAGAAGGATGCATCGAGCCTTCGAATAGCGCCTACAGTTCACCCATTGAGATGGTGAAAAAGAAGACGGGTCAATGGAGGATGTGCGTAGACTTTCGACAGATCAACGCAAAATCAATAACGGATGCGTACCCAATGCCACGGATGAACTTCATTTTAGAACAGCTGAGGGAGGCCAAATTCTTCAGCAGCCTCGACTTGAAGGACGGGTATTGGCAGATCCGTCTAGAGAAAGGAAGCAGAAAGTACACCGCCTTCACCGTTCCAGAAAAGGGCTTGTACCAATGGAAGGTGATGCCGTTCGGATTGCACTCAGCCTCGGCAACGTTTCAGAGGGCCCTTGATCAGGTCATAGGCCCGGACATGGCTCCACACGCATTCGCGTATCAGGACGATATCATCGTGATCGGACGCACCAAGGAAGAGCACATGGAGAACTTAAAGGAGGTGTTCAGGAGGTTGAAAGCGGCGAACCTGCGGATAAATGCGGAAAAATGCCATTTCTTCAGGCAGGAGCTGCTATACTTAGGACACCGAGTAACGAGCAAGGGAATCGGCATGGACCCGGGAAAGGCCGCCGCGATTACAGAGCTAAAACCCCCGACAAACGTCAAAGGAGTACGGAGGTTCATCGGGATGGCGTCATGGTATCGGCAGTTCGTCCCAGATTTCGCAGGAATCGCCCAGTGCAGGCGTGCCCAGACTTTGAGAAAAGGTTCGTGCTGCAAACGGACGAAAGCGACTACAGCGTCGCAGCGGTCCTGACCCAGGACACCGAGGAGGGCGATCGAGTGATCGCATACGCCAGTCGAACGCTGATTGGAGCTGAAAAAAATTACTCGGCAACGGAGAAAGAATGCCTAGCCATAGTATGGGCGATCAGGCAGATGAGACCCTATCTGGAGGGGTACCAGTTCGACGTAATCACGGACCATATGGCGCTGAAGTGGCTCAACAACATAGAGAGCCCGCTGGGAAGAATAGCGAGATGGGTGTTCGAGCTGCAACAATATGACTACGTCATCAGCTACCGGAAGGGGAAACTCAACGTAGTCGCCGACGCGCTATCCCGCCAGCCAGTATTGGAGAAACTAAGAAGTACCACGGAGGCGGAGATCAAAGAATGCGTGTGGATAAGCGCGTTGAAAAAGAAAATGAAGACAAGTCCGCAGAAGTTCCCGGACTACGTCGAAGAGGGCGGTACCGCCACGAGCCGCATAGAGCAGGAAGCGAGGAAGTGGCGTCATGGAAGTTGTGTGTGCCGACGGAGACGAGGCAGCAGGTCCTCAAAGAGAATCATGACGCACCAACAGCAGGACACTTAGGCGTCAGGAAAACAATAGCCAGAGTGGCCGCCAGATACTTTTGGCCAGGGATGCAGAGAGACATACGGAAATATGTCAGGAGATGCTAAACTTGCCTAAAATACAAACCCTGCCAGATGCAAGCAGCAGGACAAATGCTGACGCAGGTCCCGGAGGAACCATGGGCAACTGTATGCGCGGACTTTGTGGGTCCATTGCCCAGGTCGAAGCATGGAAACACAATGGTCCTGGTGATGATTGATCGGTTCTCGAAGTGGACGGAGATAGTGCCACTGCGAAAAGCAACAACCGAGGCGCTACAAAAAGCGATCCGAGAAAGGATTGTCGCTCGGTATGGAGTACCAAAAATAATGGTGACGGACAACGGCGTACAGTTCACCAGCCGAAGCTTTAAAAAGTTCCTCGGGGAGCTCGGCGTGCACCACCAGTTCACCGCGCCCTACAAACCGCAGGAGAATCGCACGGAAAGAGCTAATAGGACGGTCAAAACGATGATCGCCCAGTTTGCTGGAAAGGATCAAAGGGCATGGGACGAGCACTGGCCAGAGCTAATGCTGGCAGTAAACTCGGCAGTGTCGGAGTCCACGGGGTATTCGCCGTGTTTTGTGACGCAGGGCAGGGAGCCAAGGATGCCGCAAGCCCTGTTCGACGAAAATTCTTTAGGCACAAGAGCGGGGCAAGGCACGCCAACCGAGAATGCGACAAAGCTAAAAGAAGTCTTTGAGATAGTGCGGAGGAACATGGAGCGAGCGGCCCAGGACCAGGCCCGGCACTATAATTTAAGGAGGCGGAAGTGGAGTCCAAAGGTCGGGGAAAGGAGCACAGCTCGGGACAGTGTCGGCAAAGGAGCACCATTTGTCAAAGGCGGCAGAAGGATTCACGGCGAAATTAACGCCACGGTACGACGGACCCTACACGGTCGTGGATTTCGTGTCGCCGGTGATTGCCATTTTACGACACGGAGGCACGAACAAAGAGAAGAGGGCACACGTGAGTGAACTAAAGTGCCAAGATGTAGAGGACGCGAAGGCATAAGAGACACAATATAGAGAAATAAATTAGAAGAAAGCACCAAGTGCGTATACACCATGGAGCACAGGTGCATCACGATATTTAGATGGATATATGTACGCATGTATGTATATGGAAAAAAGAAAAAAAAACACCAAAGTGGAGGCAAGCGAAACCCTGAGCCCCAACGGGACAATTTCAATAACGAGAGCAGGGTTTGCTATAAAAGTGGAGCCGTGGGAGGAGCAAGGTCCATTAAACCATCAGCATGTCAACCGCAACTGTAGTGATCTCGTTGGACGAAAGCGACTTGGAAGTGGTCGGCGACCCGACATGGAACGGGAAAAAGGAAATGACAGCGTCAGCAGTCAAGCGGGCAACAGGAGGGCGGAGGTGGATACCCGTCGGTTGTACCAAGGTGGAGGAGCGTCGCAGGAGTGACGGGCTGATCATGCACCAGCGGGTGGAGAAGGGCCGCCTGAGTCAGCCGTGGAACTGGCGCGAGCCAGGGCCGAGCGGGCGGAGCAGGTCCGGCAACGGAACGTCCGGGAGTGGCGGCAACTCAAGCTAGACGGGCACGAACGAGCGCTAACGATAGCCAAGGGGAGGAGGGCACGGCAGCGGCGGACACGGCGTCTGGTGAAGAAGGCCAAGGAGAAGACGGCCATCAGGAGGAAGCGGGAAGCAGCAGAGGCGGCCACCAGGAGGAAGCGGGAAGCGGCAGAGGCAGCCTCCAGGAGGAAGCTGGAAGAGAAGAAGGCCAAGGAGAAGGCGGCCTCCAGGAGGGCACGAGGGGCGAGTCGATGGCCAGAAGTACCGTCGACTCCACGACCAAGGACGGAGCCGGAGGAGAAGGTGGTGCGGCGGCCGAAGAAGGTCGAAGAACGGAGCGTAAGAGAAGCGAGTCGATGGCCAAAGGTACCGCCGACTCCACGACCAAGGACGCAGCGCGAGGAGGAAGAGCCATGGACGAAGGGGCCGTGAATATGGCCGGCGCCGGAGTGGCAGACGTTTGGCCGACAAATCTCATGCCCCGAGAAGCGGCCGGAAAGACCAGTCCTGATGTGGTCAGCGTCGGAAGGAGGCGCGACGGAGGTCCCCGAGGAGAGATGGCCTCCGGAACTATACGCGAGGGTGGCCGGAGAAGTGGAGAGGCGGAGAGGACGGGCCGAAAGATGGTCCATAATGGCGAACGTGGGAACGAGAAGTTTCCGGGTCAGAGGAAGCGCCAACGGAATAAAGGTGACTCTAAAAATTTAAAAAAAAAAAAAAAAAAAAAACTAAAAACTAAATGAAAAAAAAAAATAATATATAAAAAAATAAAAGGAATTATTATAGTGGAACGAAGTAAGGTTAAAAGAAAAGAGAGGGGTTTTTGGGAAAAAAAAAATAAATAAATAAATAATAATAAAATAAAACAAGAAAGGAAAGCTAACTTCGGGCGGAGCCGAAGTTTATATACCCTTGCAGCTAAAACCGGATATATATCGCAAAAATCGGATATAGTTGGCCGATCCTTATGAAATTTGGTAGGATGGATCAAAATATAATCTGTACCAAGTTCCAGCTTTCTATCTTCAAAAACACAAAAGTTGGGTCATTTCCGATCGTTCAGTTATATGGCAGCTATAGGATATAGTCGGCCGATCCTTATGAAATTTGGCATGTCGTATTATTTTGCCAAAAATAGCTCTCATGTCAAATTTGAACTCTCTAACTCTAAAAACACCAAAGTTATACCATTTCCGATCAATCAGTTATATGGCAGCTATAGGATATAGTCGGCCGATCCCGGCCGTTCCGACTTATATACTGCGTGCAAAGGAAAGAAGGGTGTGTGCAAAGTTTCAAGACGATAGCTTTAAAACTGAGAGACTAGTTTGCGTAGAAACAGACAGACGGACAGACGGACAGACGGACATGCTCATATCAACTCAGGAGGTGATCCTGATCAAGAATATATATACTTTATAGGGTCGGAGATGTCTCCTTCACTGCGTTGCACACTTTTGGACAAAATTATAATACCCTCTGCAAGGGTATAAAAAAAAGGGATTTAAAAAAAAAAAAAGATAAAAAAAGAAATAAAAATTATATATGTATATATATTATTACATAAGGGAAAAATATAAAAAACAAAAAAAAAAAAGAAAAGGTTTTAAATAACAAAAAAATTGTTTAATAGGAAAAAGTTATATATATAAAAATTGGTAAAGAAAATAAAAAAAAGAAGCGGGGACACAAAGAAAATATATATGCAAACATATATATTGGGTATAGAAATGTATGGATTTAGTGCAGTGGCCGGCACCCCAATACATTGATATGATTTTACCGCATTAGTGTTAGTAACGAATAGCAGAAAGTAGGCTTTGAGCGTGACGTTTCACACATTTATACTGTGTGTGTGTGGCACAGCTCGGACAGAGAAATTTCCTATGCCCCCGAGATAGGGCCGTGCCGACCTCTGATTTAGTGTTAGCGAAGAAGGGGGGAAGTGGATAGAGTTATCCACACAATATCCAGGAGGAATAACAGGCAAGCATCATTTTTTTTTGCGAGGGGCAAGCCACCCTCGCTCCATGGGATGACGTGGAACGTAACGGTTCCCGGAGCAGCAAGTGGTCAGCGGGAAAAGTAACCAAAAAGGGGGGGGCGGGAGAGCAGCACGCCGTGCACCCGTGTTTAGAAAGTGCGGCAGGGTTAGCGTCAACAAAGGAGAAAGGAGTTGGGGGGGTGACGCAGGGCGTAGCGGGCCCTCGAGGTCCGTTTAACGACAATGAATGTCCGTGACCGAGAGGGACGAGGGGGCATGGACGGCGACCCGCCAACGGGAGAGCGGCGTGATTTTGGAGCAGGATTAACTGCAGGAGGAGAACCAGCGAGGATAACCGGGCGCTCCAACCAGTATATAAGGAGGCCCATTGGAGCAGATCGGCACGAGTCTTTTTAGGAAGCTTGTAGCGTTGAGTTGGAGGACCGCCTGTGGAGAGTCCGCCATTCAAGTGTTAGAGCGTTTATAAAAAGGATTCGGTTTGTTTGAGTTGAAGGACCGCCTTTGGAGAGTCCGACAGCCAAGCGCAAGGAGAGCGATTTGACAATAAGGAAAGGATCCACTGCTGGACTTTCCTCTGAAAACCCAGGGTCGTGTGTAGTCGAGTTGGTTTATTTACGAACACGGCAGGTAGCCTTGCAAGGAAGTGAGGAAAGGATACGTCTGGCGTATGCCTTACCGACTCCTGAAATCGCAACCAATAAGCGTGATCCTGCGAAGCAAGGATAGGCCTACTCGGGGACTCACGCCCAAGTTTTGGAAACCGAACAGGAACACCCCGGTCACCCGCAAAACAACTCCCGATTCGGACTCACTGGTGTGTCTCCGGAGTAGTGGAGTCGCGGCTCGCGGTCAGTAGGGCAACTTCTGACTCTGGCTCATTATCGCACGCGCGCGGTGTGTCCAGGTGTAGTGGGGGGCGCATCGTCCACAGGCAGCTCCCAAACCTGGCTCGCTGGTGCAAGTGCATTGCGTGTCCTGGCGTAGCGGAGGCAGCAGTCGGCAGAAGACTTCCAAGCCCGGCTCGCTGGTGCATACGCACTGCGTGTCCCGGCGTAGAGAAGGCGACAGTCTGCAGCCTACTCCCAATTCAGACTCTCTGAAGTAGCGGAGCGGAAGAGCGCTGTCCTTGACCAGTCGCAGTCGACCCAAGGGGGTGTTCTGAGAAGTAGGAAGGCCTGTTTGTGGCCAACGAAAGGGCGAAGTTTAGGGGGCCTACGTCAACGGAAGCAGCATCGGTAGCAGCGACGGAGCAGCGAAAGCGGCCGGAGCCACGGAGACGGCCAGAAGGAAGCGCCGGCGTCGGAGCAGCAAGGACCCGAAGCAGAGCCCGTGTCCGGGATTAAGAATCAGATCTTTTGTATTGAGAAGAGCATACGAAATAAAGAGTTTATAACGTTTCGCTATTTGTATTATTTCTGGGCTCGGGCAATCACGTCGAACTATAAATTCGTCGGAACAGACCCGCAAACTCTTGAGCTAGCCACGGCAAACTGTGGCGAGCGGAAGCAGTAGGAATAGTTTGTTACAAGCACTTATCATATAATCAAGGGATTATATAACGTTTCCTGGACGCGTTTGAAACCAAGAAGTACTGCATGGCCGTCATGCTGGACGTGAAGCAGGCGTTTGACCGAGTCTGGCATCCCGGTCTTCTATATAAATTAAAGACTGGCCTACCCCGACCGACCCGTCCAGTTCCTAAAGTCGTTCTTGGAAGACCGTAAATTTGCTGTTAGATGTGGCGAGGCCATCTCCGGTATTAGAGAAGCTCACGCTGGTGTACCCCAAGGCAGCGTTCTTGGCCCGTTGATGTACAATGCTTACACGGCCGACCTCCCTGTTCTTCAGAGGCCTGACCCTCTCGCAGCAACCTATGCAGACGACACCGCCTTCCTTACCACCGCCGATAGCGCATTGGGGGCAGCCGATACGATGCAATTGCAGCTTGACTTGCTCAGCGACTGGCAAAAGCGATGGAACATTGCCGTCAATAATGAGAAGTCCACTGCCTCCACATTTTCTCTCTGCAAAGGCAACTGCCCTCCAGTTAACCTTAACGGCTCTCCAATCCCACAGGTAGACAATCCCAGGTACCTGGGATTCACCCTAGACAGGAGGCTCACCTGGAAGCCCCATCTGATTAAGAAGAGGAAACAGGCTAATCAAAGACTTTGATCCTTCTACTGGCTTATGGGTAGGAGTTAACTTCCACTAAACTCCTCATTTACAAGGCAATAATACGCCCTATCTGGACGTACGGCATACAGCTCTGGGGCACTGCGAGCAAGACGAATGTCCGAACTATGCAAGCTTTCGAAAATAGAGCCCTTCGAATCGCCACTGGGGCCCACGTCTATCATGACAATCGCACCATCCACGAGGTTCTCAATTTCCCTTGGGTCAAGGACGAGATACAAAGAAGCAGCGCACGTTACATGCAGAGGCTTCATAATCACCCGAACCGGTTGGCCAGCTCCCTGCTGGACAACAGCGAGCAACCCAGAAGACTTAAAAGGACACACCCGCTGGACCTCCCCTTACTACTCTAATTTTTTTCTACCATATTAATATTTAAAATTATCTATACGTGAAGTTTACGTGATAAAATTTAATGGTTGTCCCTAATGGACAGTTTTAAATAAACATTACCCTGCTATTACAAAAAAAAAAAATATAATCAAGGGAATCGTTCAAACAAATCGACCTCGGTGTGCCCGTAAATTTAAAGTTTGCAAAAGCGCGACTACCACAACTTTCCCACGCAGAGTGGGAACTCTCGATGTCAGATTTTAAACGAATGGTTTTCAAAGCCAAAGTAGGTGTGAATAAAGTGTGAAACTGAAAAAATTTACAAGGTGGCATTATATACTACTGTGTCCCCAAATGTCAGCCGGGTATGACCGTTTTTCCCCTATAAGACGTCATCATCCCGAATTTCATCTTTCACTGCACAAGTCCCGGTGGATGTTTTCGTCTCAAAAATACCAGTGCCGCGCTGTGGGATGCATATGTTGCAATTCGTCCAGATTGGCTTTAGAATTGTAGAGTAGTATCTCTTGTAGATACCTGTAGTAGTATCTTGGGCGTGATCTTTTACTCCAAAAGAGATGCTGGTTTTTAGTTTAAGGTGCATCTTCTCGCATTCGATGCTCTTAAGCCAGGTTAGTAGCCTATCGAGGTGGACCACAAGGTACGTTACTTCGTTAATTTTGGGGATCTGCATATAGTTTAATGAAAGCGGAGGGCAGGTTTGTCTGTTAGGACTACAATATTTACACTGTATGAACAAATATTTACATTTTTGTTCGTTTATTTTAGTACGCCAGCCATTAGAGCCACCTTTCCACCACCATAAGATAAACAGCGGGGGGATTTCTTACTCGGTTTGGGCATTTGAAGCGACTAGGGATAGCGGTATCATCGTTGACATTGTTAGAAGAACGTTGATGTTAGACGTTGTTAAGTGAGAATACAAGACATATAGAGAAGGTCCAAATGACCTTCCTTGTGAAACTCCAGATTCGATGAACCTGTCACTCGAAGTTGCTGCGTTGCATCTCACTGAGAATATTGTAGAGGTATGACTCGAGTAGCTTGTGTCTATCGATGTCTAGCGCTGCAGCATCTCGATGTTAGAAGACTCAACGTAGTTCTAATGTTATTCGGAGGGCAAATTGGTGTATCGGGATATAGACAAAATGGGCAAAAATAGAAGGCTAGTACCAATAGTACGATGCCGCAATTGAGTGGTCTTTTCTAGTGTCAATATAATAATACAGTAGAATACCGGTATAGCGACTTTTAAGGGACCGACAATTTTACGTCGTTATATCCGGACGACGCTATAACCAAAAGAAGCAAAAAAAATAATTTAGTTTTTTATTTTATGCTTGCCATGTTTGTAATAGGTTTCTTAAATAAAACAAATTTATTTTTTAATCAAAACAAAAAGTTTAATAAATTTAATCACAGTTCAACTTCGACAGTCTAACCGATCGGTCGTTTTTTTCCGCGAGACGTCTACGTAGCGCATTTTCTTATCTCTACTCCAACTGGAGCGACGGACAATTTTGGCAGCATTTAAGAGGCCTTAAAGTTTGTTGGTGGACCCACAATGCGGGACCCTCCATACATCTGGAGAAAACACCCTCCAGACGGTATATATTTGGTTGCAACCAGAACGGACGAAGATTCCCAGCCCCTGGCTGCAATCTGCCCGTTCATTATTAAGAAGACAATCGACAATCAGAAACTCGTCAGTATGCCTTCCTACACTCCATATGTCGATGGAGTTAAAATATCTGAACACCGAAGCCTTAACTCGAGTATTGGGATAATATATTCGAACTATTTGCGAGGAATTGATGAAAAAGTCATCTTGGATAACCTAAAGGGGCAGAAAGTTGAAAGAGTCGAGAAAATATATAAATATATTACCAACCAGGTTCTCCATAAAACTCCACAAAACGAAGCGGGTCTCATAAAAATCTCATTTAAGCAAACCAATCTGCCAGACTTTCTTTATATTGGTTATGAGAGAGTTGAAGTGCGTACATTTATACCGCGTACATATTTGATACACCAACATCCAGGAACCTCGACCCAGACACAGACGAACCTATGTCATCCAGCTCGGAAACTCCCTGCACTTCCCACACTGCTAAAAACCGTAAAAAGGGCGCAATTATCCCCAGATCTAAACTTAAATCCCTTGCCTCAATTGAAACTAAAACAACACAATAACAATCATAATGACCCTAAAACTACAATGGACCATGAATGGATACCTGAACAATTACAACGAACTGCAAGTCCTGATTAAACGCTTTACTCCCAAAATCATTTCACTTCAAGAAACCCACATAACGTACACCCAACCAATCCCTATTCCAGTTAACTACAATATTCACTACACAGCCTCGCACATCCCGGATGGCGGCGCGGCAATTTTAATTCACAAATCTATACAGCACAAATCCATCCCTTTTCCGAGCACAGTTGATTCCATTGCATTGGAAATTAAGTCTGTAAAAAAATGTAATATAATATCATCCTGTATACCTCCTAACAAGAAATTCAACCAAATAGATCTCCATTCAATTTTACCACCGGGAAACTCCCCAAATCTAATTATAGGAGACTTTAATAGCTGGAATACCAGCTGGGGATCCCCAACAATTAATCTGAGGGTAAAAATATTAGGAAAATTCATTTTGGATAACAACATCATTATCATTAACAACGGACAACCCACGCATTTCTCAACACATGGGACCTTTACACATATTGACTTGGCATTCTGTTCACCTGAACTTAAAGTATATTGCGACTTCAAAATCAGTGACTCCCTCCAAGGAAGCGATCACTTCCCAATTACCATTGCAATTTTTCCGAAA